CCCTCAATTACCCCCCCCAGGGTGTCCCCAAAACCCCCTCCAGCACCCACTCACCCTCTGCCCGCTCTGGGGGTCCCCGTCTCTCCCCCTCCCTGCGGGCGGGGGGCTCCCCCTTCCCTCTCCTCCTCCTTCTCCTCGGCGCCTCTTCGGCCTCTTCCTCCTCCTCCTCCTGGGGGGGATAAAGAGGATCAGGGGGAGCTCTGGGGGTGGGTTTAGGGGTCTCCTCCTTCAAGGTACACAATTTTTTTGGAGGGTTTGGGGGGGATTAGGGTGTCCCTTTTTGGGAGAAGTTTGGGGGGTTCTCCCTTTCGACACGTTTTGGGGGTTCTGCGAGGGGTCCCGAAGGGCTCAAGGGTCCTTTTTGGGGATTTGAGAAATCCCTGGGGGTTCTAGGAGTCCTTTTGTGGGAGATTTGGGGGGGTCCCCAGCGCTCCTTTTTTCAGGGGGGTTTAGGAGTGCTCAGAGGAGCCTTTTGGGGCTGCCACAGGGTCTGTTTTTGGGGGGGTCTCACCTTGCCCGAGGATGACTCCTCGGACGCCTCCTCCCCTTCGCTGTCCAGCCGGAAAAGCTTCCGGCGCTTCCCGGGGGCCTCGGCCCGGGGGGCTCCAGGGGGGAGTTCTTTGTCTGGGGGAATAAAAAACGGGGGTCGTGGGGGGTCCCAGAGGAAGCTGGGGGAGGGGTTTGGGGGGGCACCCACCGTCCTCATCCTCCTCGGGGGGGGTGGGGGGCCGGGGCCGTTTCTCCTCCCCCGCCTCGTTCAGCTCTGACGGCTCTTTCCGCTTCACCTGAAATGGGGGAAAAAAGGGAGAAAAAGGGGCAAAAGGGGAGGTTTGGGGGCGTCCCCAAAGCCAGACGTACCCCCAGGGTGGACCCCGATGCCCCTCCCACCCACCAGCCTGAAACAGCTCCCCAAAAAGGGGCACCCAGAGCCTCCCATCCCCCCTGAGAGGGACACCCAGAGCCTCCCATTCCCCCAAAAAGGGACACCTGATTCCCCCCAAGAGACACACCCAAGGCCTCCCAAAACCCCCAAAAAGCAGCCCCCCAGAACCCCCTGCACCCCCTCCAAAACCAGACAGCCCAGACCTCCCAAACACCCCCAAACAAGGACCCTCAGTAACGCCCCAAGCCCCCCAAAAAGGGAAGGGGGTTTCAACGAAAGGCCAAAAGCACCAGGACCCCCAAACACCCCCAGGACCCCCAAACACCCCCAGGACCCCCCAAACCCCCCTCAGAGGGGTACCTTGAAGGAGGGCAGCCGCAGGGCCCCCCTCAGCCCTGAGCCCCCGCCCCGGGCCCAGTCCACGAGGGAGAGGAGGGCAGGGGGCTCCTTCGGCCTCGCTCGCTCCTTCTCCTCCCCCCGCCCCGTCTGGAACGGCTGGGGACGACAAAATGGGGGGTCAGCACGGGGGGAGACCCCCAGAGACGCTGGGGAGGGGTTTGGGGGAGGATTTGGGGGTCTGGGGAGGATTTGGGAGGAATATGGGGGTGATTTTAGGGGGAGATGGAGAAAGATTTGGGGGGACGGGGAAGATTTGGGGGGTATGGGGGGAAATTGGGGGTCAAAGGGAAATTGGGGGTCTGGGGGAGGTCTCAGTTCATTGAGGGGGGTCTCAGCAAATTCAGGAGGACTGCCAATTAACTGGGAAAATCCCAAATAACCAGGGGGTTCCAATTAACTGGTGGGCGCCTCAATTAATTCAGGAGAAATCTCAGGCAATTTTGGGGATCCCAAGCAATCAGAGAGGGTCCTAATCAATTCCGGGGGTCCCAATCGATCAGGGAGCAACCCCAATCAATCCCGGGGGGCCCAATCGATCAAGGACCATCCCAATCAATCCCAGGGGTCCCAATCAATCAGGGACCATCCCAATCGCTCGGGGGGGTCCCAATCAATCAGGGACCATCCCAATCGCTCGGGGGGGTCCCAATCAATCAGGGAGCATCCCAATTGATCAGGGAGCATCCCAATCGCTCGGGGGGGTCCCAATCGATCAGGGAGCAGTCCCAATCGATCAGGGACCATCCCAATCGCTCGGGGGGGTCCCAATCGATCAGGGAGCAGTCCCAATCGATCAGGGACCATCCCAATCGCTCGGGGGGGGTCCCAATCGATCAGGGAGCAGTCCCAATCGATCAGGGACCATCCCAATCGCTCGGGGGGGGTCCCAATCGATCAGGGAGCATCCCAATTGATCAGGGACCACCCCAATCGCTCGGGGGGGTCCCAATCGATCAGGGAGCATCCCAATTGATCAGGGACCATCCCAATCGCTCGGG